TTGGACGTACCCTGCTTTTTACCCTGATACACAACAGCGAGTTGTTCATCTCCAGCAGCAGGGCTGCCATGGAGCAAACCCAGTAGGCAGGCAGCTGTCAGGTATTAAAGCCTGCAGAAGGCCAGTTCCCAGTGCAGGAGATGCAACCGGAAAACAAGCATAATTAGAGCACAACAATGTGCCAGCTATTCTTGGAGGCAGAAAAGCCCCTCAGGAGCTATTGCAGGAGAGTGAAGCTAAGACAGCCTCAGACCACTCTAATCCACGTCACAGGCATCCCCAGGAACAGAAAGCCATCCTCCCACATTCTGTCCTGCTGAGTAGCTCAGGCTAAAGAAACTGTTCTCTGCTTTTGTTCTCTGAACACCTTCATTGTGCTGAGCATACATCCCCTAAGGTTTCAGGAACATTAACATAATCCACACACAAATATTATTCTAAAGAAGTGATTCCCATAGCTCTCCTATTTTTGGAGACACATCTTAGAAAAGCTTCCCTAATATACTGGAATGGGACCTATGTTATCTTCATAAAAGGAATCCAACTTCTAGACTTCTAAATTCATTGCTAAGCAGTTCAGACTTCCTTTTATGCTGTAAGATTTCCTTCCCATAAGATGCAAGATATATTGCCTCAAGGGAAAAGCAGCTTTATGAAGAGGAAGCTACGTGTGCCAGAATTGTTCTCTTCCATTACTGGCAACATCCTTTCTCCCTCCCATTGTTTTAATAGAGCTGGTCACCAAAAGAACCTGCAGCAAAACCACCAATACCCTCAGCAGATCATCTACCGGCCAAGAGCCCCAAACAACCTCTGCTCTTCAGCAGAACCTTCTCGATGTCAGGAAAATACATTTTCTGTGCGTGCCCCATATGGAGTTCTGATAGAAGCATGACTTTACTAATAGACTTACTTTCTGCTGTTCCCACCGTAACAGCATTTGAGGAATGGCTCACCGGTAATCTTCCACCTACATATTTTTGTATGACTTCACTGAATACAAGGATGAAGGAGGAAAAGAAAGAGAAAGCACATTCAGTAGTGATCAGATCAGCGTTACAGGGAGGAAAAAAAAGTATTTAAAAAAAATCTGGTGACTGATGTTCCTACACGTGATCCTGAGAAATGTTCCCCACGTGCATATACATGCTTGCGTGTAGCCCAGACTCAGTTACACACTTAAATTCAAGTGCATGCTTAAATACTACATCCCACGGGCCTTCGGAAAGCATGTATCAAATTAGGCATTTGTTGAAATGCTTTGCTAAGCTAAAGGATCAGTTTACGCACTTTCCCCAAATACTCTGCTGAAATGAGGCTAATTGTTGCAGTGGTACCTCCCAGGAGGCCCCCAATTCTTCCCCGAAGCATTCATCTACCAGGATTTCAGTCTTGCACATTCAGCTTTGGGGAATCAGATGGGAAACTGGGACCAGGGAATGTGCGACACTAGAAATGACAGTATTACCAGAGGTAGCTAATGTAACCACAGATCCCTCCTACTGATCCAGATCACACACACCACCATGTCCCCTAGCATCACTACAGTCTCTTAAAATCTCCTCTAAGGGGCACAACCTCCCCAGATTCAAGCAGATGGAAATCCAGGGTTCCCCCCAGATAAGAAACTACTTGATTTTGGACAAAAGGAATCTGCTGCCAGGAGGACTGAATGGAGTTACTGAAAATAAGAAAATATTCCTAGTGTTTCTGCACTCCTATCCCTGAAGTGATATGATCAAGAGGATTAATTTTAGACTATGCACAGTTTTAATGTGAAAAAAAATCCCACCAAACCCCAAGTTGCATCTTAGCTTTTAAGCAAAGACCAGATGGAAAGTCTATCATTAGAAATGCCAAAGGGAGAATACACTCAAAGTTCGCTCCAGGATGGAAAGGTCATTTCTAGTCATGCTTGTTTTAAATGTTCTCAGAAGCACTCAAGCTTTTTGTAATAAGATGGTTATAGTTCAGTTTATCAACTTGATTTCCTCCAAAATAAAATAAAAAAAATCCAACAAAACAAAACAAAAATCACCAACAATACAAGACAGAAACTTTAAAGGCAGGCGCCAGCTCTCTTCTTCCTCTCCAGAGCAAAAGAGTCATTAAATTTTTAATGAATTATTGCTTAGATGACAAGAAATGCCACAAAAATGATCTGTTGATTCCACCCAGGGGTGTTTACTTAGAGCTTTATAGGGAGATTTATGAGATGACAGGCAACAGACAACGTGTCAGTGAAGTCTGAGCAGCAACGCTTCACTTATCAGGTACTGATATTGATGAAGAACACGTCAAGCTGATGCGAAATGCATCAGGCATCCCTACTGTGTTCCAAGCAATGTCCCAAAGCCCCAGTGAAGACCATATGCCAGCTGATTGGTACAAATCCACCAACCCATTTGCACTACCATACAACTGGTTGTAAAATCCAAGCAGCTCACTCAATAAGAATCTCCCAAGGGCTAAATATGCCTTCTTAACTCTAGTAGCTCACATACGATGGCTAGGAGGAAGCAAAATTGTGACTAGTGATTTTCACCAGTTATTAGAGTACCCCAAGATAACACAGTGTTTACAGCTTTACAGCTAACTCACAAGAGCTATAAACACACAGCTTCAACTGAGATTTCATGAGCCCCTAGTCTCCATGTGCCAGGAAGCCCCCTCCCCTTTAAGATAAGCTCACATCTGAAGTACAGTAAGTGAATAAGCCTGATGGGAAACAACCTACAAACCCTAACAGGAAACTATTTAATCAAAGACAGAAATCTCCATTCTCTTATTTTCCAACAAATGTAAAAAAGGCACATAGATATGATGATACAAAATTGGCATTTTCACAGTAAACACATCTGTGTCCAGTTACAGATTATTCCCAGTAAGAACTGGAGCTACTGGCTGAAGCTGAAAGTGTTTTTTCCTTGCAGACTGTGCCTTTTGTCAGCTCAACTAGGCCAGTCCTTACAAGAAATATCTGGCTTCTGGACTTCCTTCTGCATAAATAACAAACATATTTGCAAGGTCCAGACAGCTGTATTTATGTAAATCTGCTCAGAGGAGCCATCGCTGACTTAATTTAGTGGCAATGGGTTGCACAAGTGTCAGAGGGAAACGTGACCTGCAGTACCGCTCAATGAGGGACAACCAGACAAAATCAAGATTTCACTCTCAAACAGCATGCTAAAACATTGGGATCAACAAACAATGCTTTTTTGTTTCTTGGCCACTTGCAAATGGTGATTATTCCACATGAAATAATTAACAAACAAGGACAGAATCTTCCAAGCCTTCTTTAGAAATCTGCCTTTCAAAACACACCCTCATTTTAATAATTTACCATTTGCAATAGAAAAGAAGGAAAAACAAAAAGGTAAGATATTTGAGACATTCAAATCTTTTGTCCCCACGTTCTCTTCCTTCCAACAGACTTGACTCGTCATTTTTCTAATCAATTTTTTAATTGCAAAAAAAGATTTCACAATTAAATGCTTATAGAAATAAGTCGCACCTTCATGCTCCTTCTGATGCCTCATGAATTTTCCAGCTCCTCTCATACAGAGCTTTCATTACTCTGGGCATGATAGAGCCAGAACAGCTACAAGAGAAAGCTCCCATTTCAGCTCCATCCCAGTCACTGACCAAATGCTTAGCAACTTCTTTATCACTCTTAGATCACAGGGAAAAATAATAAACAAGAAAAAAATAGTTTGAGTCTTAAGATCACAACCACATTTGCTGGATAGGTTTGTTAGAAAAAACAAAACTCTGGACTTTGTGTAAACTGGTCAGGTACTAGGAGGTCAGATAGATAGGGAGCCTCACAACAGCTTTCCTGCAGCCTCACATTTGTGGTGACAACTGCACTTTCCACTGATGAAAAGTGACCTTTAGGCCCTGACATTTAGGCCCAGATTTCCCAACTTGTGTTACCTCTGCCTCCAGTTTCACAGGTGGAATTCATAGCGCTTTGAGTTTTAAATACTTGGCGACATCCATCAAACATGAGCCCATGTCTTACCCAACAGATTCTTAAAATGGAATATTCCCCCTCCAGAGGCCCATGCCACGCTTGATGGTCAACTTACACAAGGTACTGGACGTGCCATATCTCTTGGGAAAATTAACATGCCAAGCGAAAGCTCATCTCTCAAAATAGTTACCCTGCTACCTTATTTCTCTTTTATTTGTTTCCCTACCGCAGTTACACAACACATTCTTGCTGGGGCAAAAGGGATCATTAGCAAAAGCACTTCTGGGCACACACAAACAGGCAGTGCTAAATGTGCACCAGAAACAGGAAGATTAATAGTCTTCCCACATGAGAAGGCATAACAAGGCAAATGGATCCTCTGTTAGCTTGTCTCAGTAATATCTCAGGAAAGCACCATATACTCAGAATGGGAACAGGGTGGTTCAGCAATAATTTGTTTAAGAAGTCCAAGTATGATTGTAGAGAAAGCGCTCAGCTGTGATGATGCATCACCTCTCTTGTCTTGCTAAATTTAAATTGTCTTGCTAAATTTAAAGTATTTTCTGTCTGGCCTACAAGAGTGATTTACTGGCATGGAGAAATGTTTAAATATCAAGAGTTTTCAGGCTCAGCCAAACCAATCATTCCTGCAGCCCTCTCAAAGACTCTTTTTCCTACTGAGGGAAGTGAACGATTGAACAAAACAGAGATCTGGCAGCTAGAGATCCACCAGCCCAATTCCCTCTGACTGCCTCTCCTTCCTGAGGGCCTATGTCCCATTTTTTTCCACACACAGGCTGAGCACTTGATGCACCAAAAGAAGTCGGTCAAGTATTCTCATGTTACAAACCCAACTGCCTTTTCTGCTGTAGATAAAGTGTTACAGGCTAAAATTCTGAAGGACCACTGCTGGCAGGGACAGGTTAATAAAACTTCCATTCTGAGGTTAATCCAAATCTAAGGCATTGAATGGACTAAGAAGATGAGGATTATACTGCAACACTTCATACATTACTGGTTACGACTATATGGTCTCATGTCCATACTGATACCAGAGGTAATGCAGGCCAGCTGTGATTTCACCCAGCTAACACTTCTTTCATGTGTTGCCTCATCTTTATAAACTCATTTTTACTTAAGACAGCTGTGTCAGACCTGAGCTCCCAGTGCAATCTTCCTTCTACACTTGCAGAATGAATTCAGTCAGCTAGGTCCCATTTATGCTTGGTTATCACACGAGGCTACAAACGGCTCTGTTTGTACCCAGCTGATACAAAAAGTGATGTCAAAAATGTAACAGGAAGAAGGAAAGGAGCCAATTACAAAAGCAAGATGCGTGAGATAATCTTGGTCCCAGGACAGTGAAGGCTGGCAATAAGGAACATCTCATCTATCTGTCAGCTGGGGTCATTTGAGGAGCATGCTGCTGAGAAGAAAGGTAACACCTTGAAACACCAACTACAACTTTCCAGACCTGAACTATGCATCAGCCTCCCCTGCCCCTACGCCTTCATTTCTAACATGACAGGAAGGTAAGACTGAGCAACAGGAATTCAGTTTTCAAGAAGGAGCCTAATTGTACTGTAATTTAACAACCAATTAATGGTTTTGCAGAAGCTGCAAGCTCCACCCAGGGGGCTGCCTGAATGTGTTGAGGAAATGCATGGTGTTGACTTCCCAAACTGAATCACTTTTGTAAGCCCTGGGGTGATATTTATAGAGTTGGGGGAAAATTTCCAGGAAACATCGCTTACTGGCACTCACAAAAATAACAACGAAACTCTTCAATTACTAAACTCTTAAGGAAGAAAGTCTTTCTTCTTTCTGAGAGGACAACAAAGCATCGGCCTCTATGATTAATACTGTTCTTTATCTCATGATAGATGTTGCTCCTAAGCTTTTAATTCTGTACAGCTGCAAGGCTATTGGTTTGGTTTGGTTTTTGTTGTTTTGTTTTTTTTCTCTCAACTGTCTTCTACTGATTATTTCCAGGATAAGATGCTGAAGTTAGCCTTATCTCTGAAAACTTTAGGTTTTAACACAGGTTGAACCCAAGCTCACACTCACAGAGATTCCAGGTACAATCAAGCTAACCCAGGTACAAACAACAGCTCAACCACAGCAGCCCAGCGGTCAGCCTGAACCCTTTACCCAACTGTCCAGTATCCTGATTTGGGAGAATTGTTGCAGCCTTCATTAAACCACATGAATATGCAGGTAAGTCTATTACTGGAAGTCAAGCTATCCCATGCAGAGGTGAGCCTCGTCCCTCTGCACAACCTGGACATGCCCTGGCATCACAGAGCAGACAAATGCAGACGAAGGGCACAAATTAGTAGCTGGATCATCCATTAAAAGCATCTGCTCCCCTCCACAGCATCCTTTTGTCTCCTCAGAGACAAGGACTAAACCAGGCTTTCAGAAACATTTTGTCCCTGCAATCGTTCTAAGGACGCAAGCCCAAATCTGGGGGTGGCTTAAGCATTCTGAAGTATGTGCCTTTCCACTAAGCACACATTTCTTTCTTGCTTAGGGAGGGTGGGCAGACTATTTCAGACACCAGCAGCATCGGGACGGATGTAGACCGGCTGACCACAGAACTGTGTCTTACCGGCATAAAAAAAAATATAAATCTTTAAGAAGCACAAGACAGGGCAACACAAGCTTGTCCCCATCTTGCATACAAAGTGCAAATGAACAGCTTCCAGACTGCCACCACCCCCGAGCCCTGGGGCCAGTGTTGGCCAAAGTCTTTGAGAAGGCCTCAGAGATGTCTTACACAAACCAGTAGCTTGGAAGTGGACATAAAACAAAGGCAATGAGAGAAAGGCTGCTGGCACGAACTTGACCAGTACCAGCCCCATACGACCTCTTAGCTGGGCTGGCCTGGCATGGCTGCTGGGAGGGCACATCAGGTCCAGCTCTCTGTCAAGCTGTCAATCAGCATGGCACAAGTTCCATGACACTCATGGGACGTGACACCCCGTGCAATGCAATGGAGACCCAACAAGTTTGTTTTGTACATGCCACTGCAGCATCGGCTGATACAGCAACGTGCTTTGGCTAGTACTGACATGGGAAGCATTCAAAGCACTCGTGCAGAGATAAGAGGCTCTCCTCATCTCTTGCCTGAGACATGCTGACCTTCGCTCCCTCCCTTCTTGCTGGCATTGTTAAAAATAATACAAAAATCTGCCCCTTATTTTTTAAAATGTCTCCGTTTCAGAGGATTCTGCCTCTTCCCCCCTCCCCCCCCCTCCATTTTTCTGAGGCCAATTAAAAAATAAAAGTTTACCAGGAAGACAGCAAGAAAATAAAAAGTGTCTGATATCACTGGATGCAGCCTATAAGGATCTCGCACATAAAAGAATTATGTCCCTGAGCACTTTCCAACGGACTTTCAGAAAATTTCATCTTTCTACTTCCCTGACTGGATAGTCTGTTTGAGTAATTCTCTCTTTCTCCTGGGGCTGGTTGCTAAGAGACGCGCTATTACTTCTCCCTCTCTTATGACCCGATTACTGTGATCAGCAAAGACAGCGTGCAGACAACAGCCTGACACGGCTCATACAAGAACATTGGGCTCGTTACAAAATGATGGACTGTATTAACACTCCTCAGCCCATTCACTCGCTGTGGCCTTTGCAGAGTCTCCTGGCACAACTGGGGGCTTTTACTTCCCCAGCTTCTGAAGTGCATGTTCAAACATTTTAAATCGTAGGTCTGGGAAAGGAGAAGAATGGACTTTTACCTCCTGTGTTTCACTGCCTGCCAGCCAGAGCAATCTTAATGGATCCTCATCGAGAAACCCTCTTTTCCTTACCCTTCCCGAGAAGTGGCCCAGGAACTACAATTATCCCTTTTCACTCTCCTGCAAAAAACTTTGCAAATATATAACATGCTTCAGGTTAGCACATTCCCTGAAGAGTACAGTAACATATTGTAAAGGTGATCTTGACAATTCAAGGGGCTGAGAGGTAACCTGGTCCTGTGAAGAGCTGAGCTGGATTGCTCTGGATGAGGAAAGTGGATGGAAATGCACCCAATTGCAGAGCATGGTGGTCCCAAGGAAGCCACTGGGATGCCCAATGTACTGTGTCCTTGGCAGAAGAGCTCTAGGTGATGGGGCCAGTAAGGAAGATGGGAAACTTTGAGCTCAGATTGTAAGCTTGCACTGAGGAGTACCCAGGGCAAAAGCTAATGTAACTTTATTTTGTTGATGTTGTTACCAAAAAGCAGGTCTGCTGCCAGCTGGTATAGCTCAGGATGGGGTGAGTCATCAGTCACAGAGATCATCAGCTTCCACTTCATAAGAACTGAACCCTCATCACACTTTCACTTTTTAAAACATAAATTTCAAACTTCTATAATTACTAATATTAAACCTACTTTTAAAAGATTGGGTTTACTAATACTGTTTTAGTACTGTTTTCCTACTCTTGAGGGCTCCCTCTCCTCCCATCAGCTTGCTCAGGGGCATCTTCGATGGCAGAACCCCCAGACAGACCATCACATGACAGGTGCTCAGACTATACAAAGCCCAATGCCATTGCAGAATATCTAGAAAAGCCAGTTGCTAAACCTTTTCAAATGGATCCTGTAACAGAGATGACCCAGATGCACAGGTCCTTCATCTTATATTTATTCCTCACCTCCATGGCATTTCCCATAAACTCCATGCTTGGCAAAACAAATGCCAGTTCTCACGTCAGTGTGATTTCTACCAGCCAGCCCTTCATGCCAGGCTTAAAGGTTTGGTCATATCTAGACTAAACCAAAATCTTTCCTTAGTCATTGTTATCACAGGAATTAAGAGTTGGAAGAGACTTCTAAGTCTTTTGCACTTCATAGGTCCTCAGACAATGAAGCTCCTAGAGCATGCTTGCATGTTCTTCCATGGCTATGACTTTTCACCGTGTGTGCTAGTTAAAGAAGATGACGGAAGGGGAATTTTTAGATAATGTCTGCTTATTAGGAACTAGACCTGATCCCTGCTCATCCCCTTCTGCATAAGCACCCTCCCCAGGACAGCCAGAATCACATGACTGTCAGTCCTACTCACGGACCCTCAGCTCTTGCACCCAGTCCATCCCAACACACTTTGATTAGCAACAAGCATTTTGGGCCTTGTGTGTTTAGTCCAATTTGTAATTGTGTAGTGTTTGCTGCCAGAAATGCCTTCTCTTTGGCCACAAGTACAGTTTCTGTGGCTTCAAGAATTGCTCATTCATTCTTCTAGCCTTTTATTAGACCAACCTGTAATAGAATTCAAAAGACATTTATTGGTTGCTCTGACTTAGCAACACTCTGGCAGAGTGAAAAAGCTTTAGGCAGAGAAAAGGAAAAATACACTTATAATCCTTTATTATAACAGTTAGTTTTCAGGGTGTAGAAGAGCCGCATTGTTTGAACATGGGCAAAAAAAGATATATTACTTGACTGTTAACTGTCATATAACAATTGTTATTATTTAACAGGCTAGCATCTGGAGGATGTTAACATTTCAGATTAAAATAAAAGGGACAAGTGCTGCCTGCTTGAATTCAAGCTATTTCTGCATGAACACTGCTCTCTCCCTTTGACTGGGTACCACAGACTTTTAAGACTATATAGAGGACAAACAATGTCTTTTTAAAAGTAGTTTTGATCTAGTCGATGACAGATATTTGAAATTTGATTTATAAAAAGATGGATTCCTTCCATGCAAGTGTATGTCAGAACCAACTTTTTTTCTTTTTTTCTCTTTTGCCCTTCACCTTTTTTTTTTCCCCTTTTTGCCCTTTTTCTTTATTCTACCCAAACTGCTGTGGTTCACAGCACAGGCCAATGCAAAGATGAATCACTATTCAATGTTTGAAATAATGAAGTGGAAAAATTAAATATAGTATCTTGGAAGAGCAGGCAGAGAGGAGGAAAAGAAAATGAGAAAAAATACGTATGGCAGAAAACCAAACCAAAAGCCCCTACCTGCTGGAAGTGCAACGTTTGCTTTATCATACCAAATAACAGAGAAAATAGGAGCTCGGTCATCAGAATGAAAAACAAGGCTAGGCACTACTTCAAGTAGTTCCCAAATAAGAGACAATGTGTTCCAGAGCCTATGAAAGTTTAATATTTGTAATTCTAACAAAACATGGTCAGAATTGTTAATAAAACTTAGTGGCCTGACTTGACATTTTGTGAACTACAGATAAGTATACTGGTTCAATAATAATTTTTATGCACCTGTTTTATGTGCATTTTTCCTGGTGCCATTATCTGAGGTGGTATTTCAAAACAGAAAATGTTCATTCTGAGAGTAAAGCCAAGAGCAGAGTCTTACATACTTGTTTCTATCAAAAAAAAAAGCAGATGCAGACACTATTATCCAGGATAAGCAGTAAGAACCTTCGGGATGACTGCATTCAAAACAGAAGGACCCCTCCAGAGCCAGTTTATTTACACTGGTGAGAATGACAAGTCCTCATACTGGCCACTGGTCTGTGGACAACTGGGCAAAACTCCATGTCCACATAACTGAGAAGCTATCAAGTAGAGGGATGCTGCCCAGGCACTAAAGCACCAGTTTGGTCTCATGCCTCTTCAATGCAGCTCAGCTTGCTTGGGGCAGTTTAAATCCACTATTATACAAATGAGAACCACCACTAATTTCCAACTGGTTTCATTTGGTTCTTAACCAACAGGGAAGAGGATGTCATTAGAGAGAAATCAATGGAGACTTCCGAAAAGCTGCTCCAAACTGGTTTGCAGCTACCCCTTAATGAGGGACCCCTGCCTTTCTGCTTGTTCTGCAGCATTTGGGAGCTTTGTTTGTGCTTTAAATGCTCTTGTGTAGAAGGTAGCAAAGCCATCACAAAGAGGCCTGGAGCTTCAAGTTCATTTTCACTGGCTGTAGTTTGTAAGAGCCTGTGGATGATGCAGTTCTGACACTAACGAATAAAGTATTGCTTCAACTGCTCAATTTCATGTGCTCCATTCAGTGCAAGAAACGCATGAAGAATGGGAACAAGGTTTAAGAATACTTTAAAAGTTTATAATATGTGCTTTAAAAAAGCTTTATCTAAAAAACAGCACTAACATGGGGACTGTGCTGAGGCACAGTCAGGATTATTTGCAACAGTAAAGTTACCTCCTTCTTCCCACTACATTTCTGATCTCCACAAGCTCAGTCCTTAGAGGGATGGGACCACAGCATCCATGGCAATGACTGGATTAGAAAAGTCTGATAGGACTCAGCCTTTTCTTTTTTGTCCCATCACTTACACACTGATGCCTCTTCTGCAGAGCATCAATGATTTTCTTCAGCTGGTGAAGCAAGGCAGGAAGCAGAGACCAGCAGATCCCATTGGAAATACTCCAGGTAGTCACAGGACTTAATTCAGCATCAAAATGACTGAGTAACAAGATATTCCCATGCCTCATCTAGGCTACAGCAACAGTTCACGTGTATGACTCGCAGCACATGCAAGAGAGTGAGCCACGATAAAAGACTAAAACGCATTATCTCATGTTAATATTGCACACAAACCACCACTGGTGTGTGGCTGAGACAGCTCACTGCTCCTGCAGCCACCTTCCAACAATGAGCACAACACTGCAGAAGCTCACGAGAAGCCCCAAGGAGCAGGTATGCCAACTCTCTGCCTCTCAATCAACACACGTCCCACCAGCAAGGATTCCTTTCGCTTTGGTGCAGACCCAGCACAGACAAACATCAAAACCAAAATCAAACAAACAAAACAAAACAAAAAAAACAAACCAAAACAAAAAAGACAAAACACTCCCCAACCCAACCAACCAACCAATCAAAAAAACCCAACAGAAAAACACAAACCCCACAGAATCTCCCAAGTCAGCCTGAATTTATTCTTTCAGGGCTCTCATCCAAGTAATGAATAGACTCTGGACCCTGTTAGCTTCTCTGAACTGTCAAAGACTGTAGAGCAGGGAACAACAGAGCTAAAATACAGAATGTCTAGTCCAATAAATCCATATCCAGGTTTCGAAAATTAGATTGAGCTACTGATAGCAGCTGCTGTAAACAAAACCCACTAGGTATATCTGCCTATAAAGAAAACAACAAACAGCCTGATCCTTCACACTCCCAGTCCTCTACAGACATAGCAGAATATAATTCATCAGTGCTCAAGAGCCTCCACACACATGATGAGGAGGAGCACAGGGGTAGCCAAGCCCTGGGAAACGTGGATCACCTGGGTTCAAGCATTTACATTGATGTCAACCATGTAGCCTCACCCTGGAGCTGGTCTTGCTGTTGTGCCTTGTCTCGTGAGTCACTTGCTTTGTCCTCCAACCAAAGGAAATGGAAAAAGATGGGTTTAAAAAAAACCCAAACAACAAACCAACATTATGAAAACCTCAAAGGCCTTCACGTGAGCCTTGCTGTTCACTGTATCTGAAAGCCACCAAAGGAAAGGAAGGAGAAAGCAAGAACTTGCTTTGATTCCTGTCCTTTCTTTTAGTTTCCATTGTTAAATCCATATTAACTGTTGCTGCAGGTATTATGGTCACCAAGCAATGTCTGGCACTTCTCAGTAAGTGAGGATAGACTTGCTCCCCACCCTGCCACCCTTCAAATGATCACACATGATGGCAGAGGAGGCACTTTCAACCTGCAGGGAGCTGTGGCAGAGTCCGTGAATGCTGGACTGGAAAGCCCAACCCTGCAACTCAGGGGGCTTTGGGCAGCAGCCTCCCAGGCCTCACTAGCTGGGCTCCACCTGCATCAGCACAGTGTGTTTTCTCCTGGACTTGCACTGCTTTGTATCTGAGGAGTTTCATTTGGCGGGGAGGGAGAACGCAAAGTCAAAAAGAGGTTTTGAAGCTCTGAAAACTAGCTCGAAATTAAAAGTATCCAAACCAGAAGGCAAATCACACTGCAAACCTTGCCACTCACTATGCTCAAGCCACCTGATGGTCTAAAGAGCCCCAACTCAGGCTTTTCTAAGCAGCTCAGTGCCTCACCCCCGGCATCATCCCAGTGCATATACCCCACACTCCATCCCAGCTGCCCTGACCCAGCAGCATTTGTTTCAGAGCTGCCAGTTGTCCTCCCAGTGACACAGAGCCTGCAAACTCACACCAGCCCCATCACCACCAGCCCCATGGCAGCGTGCACAAAGTCAGTGGATCAACCATCACCAACCTCGTTCTGTACCAGATGCCTCCTTAGTCTGCCCTGGAGACTTAGACCCTGTTTTCTGGGACTAGGGGAAAAGAAGAAAAGGAAATCTGCTTCATCTGTAAGCTGTAAATCCTCTCCATCTTCCTGAGGCCAGCAGAGATGGGAACAGCTGTGTGGCAACACTTCCCCAAAGCCCCAGTCCTGTTGAAGATGTTGAAATACCAATTTAAATGTCAAAGCTGGAGAGCCAGAGAGGAATATGTGGCAGGGAAAGGAGGTAGGGCACGATAGAATCACAAAAAATTTGGAAGGGACCTTCAAAGATCACCTAATTCAATGCCCATGCCATTGTCAGGGACATCTGTTGCTAGATCAGGTTGATCAAACCCTGTCTAACCTGACCTTTGGGGCATCCAATGATTTGAAAGAAAATGAAATTAATGCTGTCTCCCCAGAAAAAGGCATTAATTTGCTTGAAAGACTTTTTGCTCAGTGAGTACAGAGAACAAGACCTGTTCTGCACACTTTCAGACAGAGTCTGCTGAGGAGCAGAGGGAGGGAGGCAGGTAGCACCAAACACATGAACATACAGAAAGAAGCCAACTATAAGAAACAGACTGTCAGGACCCATAGCTGGATGATGTAACGTATGTATCAGGACCCCTCTCCTCCCAGCACAAAGAGAAGACGCTCTCAAACTCTAAATACATCCAGCTCCAAACTAGGACCATCTCTGGCCCCAGTTCTACACTTTCAGAGCCACTGCTCAAATGTCTGGACATCTAATTTTGATTTCCAGCCTAACTCACTAGCAGCTACACTTCCTTCCCATGCACACTTGTTTATCTTGTAGAAAACCGTCTTCTCGAAGCACAAACAGCCCTCCTCCCTCTGTGTGATGAATACAGAGCTGTGTAAGATGTCAGAAACCTGCATGTCCTCGGGACTGCAGTGTTCATGCCTCCTGGGATCAGGCAAGGTTAATCCCTCAGAAACTGTCACAGTGGGGAATACTAACTTTAAATCCTCCAGAAACCCAGCCCAGACAACACCACGTGGACGTCTGGTCCAGTGTTTGTAGAACCTATAAAAACACAGCTGTGCCTGCCTCTTTAGCTAGCTGAATGGCAGACCTGTGCAGAATGTTAATCAGAGCTGTGGTCTTACTGATCATTATTATTATTATCATTACTACCACTACTGCAGTCATACCTGGGGCCCTCCGAACGGATCCTTGCAACAGCAAGATGGAATCTCTGCTTTGATAAGTTGAGAAATCTAGTTTGAAACAAGTTGCAAGTCACAATGGCAAATAGCAAAGAGAGGGGCTCACAGCACTATGAAAATTGCTCATTTAGCTGGTCTAAACCATGCATGCCTTGAGTGCTTCCAGTCATATTAAAATGCTGCTGGTTTATAAACTGTTGGTTGTTGCAATTTCACCTTTTTTCATTCATTTAACCGTTTCTTTTAAAGTTCCATTGAGTACCTTTTAATCAGCACCTTCTGGCTGATTTCTGTGCAGATGTTGGGGGGGGAAATAATAAAATCAAAGTCAAGGTGAGACCAAAGAAATGCCTTTGGTGGGAGGCAGGAGGAGAGGGGTGTGCAGCCAATTCTCCACTGTGCACAGAGTCTGCTCCACAGCCTGTCACTCCAGTGTGCTTTCAATGTGATCAAGAAATAAAACCACAAAATGTGATCAGCTCGGCAGATCTGGTATGTGCTAGCAACATACCTACAAAAATATAATAACGATAATAATAACAATAATAATAGAAATGCAAGGCCAGAGGATGCATTTTCCCAAACATTAAAAGCAATGAGCTGAAGAAATTAATGGGAAAGGAATTTGCTGACCTCCCAGAGAGATTCCTAACACCATTCCTGCAGCCTCTGGTAGCAATGAACCAACTCCAGCAACATGGCTGGGGCAGGCAAGGCTGTGCCAGGCTGATATGCACGGACACTTTCTGCCCCATTGCAGCTCTGGGATAGCACTTCCCAGGAGCAGTGCTGCTGCTTGCACTCATCTCTGGCAGAAGGATGCTGCACTGTGTGCTACCTACATGCTGGGCGGAAAGCCCACATGCCTCCAGTGAAGCAGCTCTGGTGGGACAGGAGGGATGAAAAAACACTGAGGTAGAAGGGGATGCTGCAGCTCTTCCACCTACAGACTCACAGATAACCAGATGGGAAAGACCTGTGACCAACAGAGAACAAATTTAGGCAAAATGACTCACAGTGCCCCTTTATGCAGGGAACCAGTGGGGCATGGAGCTGTCTCCCAGGCTGAATTACTACTGCAAAAACAATGGAGGTAATGGACAAAACCCCCAAACAATTAGGAAGCCTGGACGAGAGAAGGGAGCCTTAGAAAGTGAATGAAGCACGCTGGACAAAATATTTTCTCACTCTCCCCTTCTTGCCTGCCAGATCCCAGAAGCTTCATATTCTCAGGGTTATATATGGCTAGGCTAATGGCTTTGCACCAGCTGCTGACACCTACCAGCAGCGTGTCGCCTTCTGAAAGTGGATTAGCTTAAGCTGCAGGCAGGCTGTCACATCACTAAGCCAGTCCCTGACCAGGTCTTGGCCAACCTGGCTCTTTCAGTCCTGCCAGATAACGATGGGATCTCCAAAAGCACTGAAAAAGTCTCCCTGTGAGCTTCTGATGTCTTCTGGTTTATAAAAGACCTGGCAATGCTCTGCTGTTTGCAGGACCAGGTAGTCAGGGTTGCATGAGAAATATATGCGTGCCGCATCTCCCCTTCTCAGCCTGCAGTGCCTGCTCTGCTCTTAAGGAAAGCCTCCTTCCCCAAATGCCAAGAAACTAAGAATTTTTTAGATGGTGATAATGTTCCTAAGTCACATATAATCGGATCTACAATCATCAAAGCAGCGACAACTAATGCACACTGACATCTTTCACAAAAAAAAATAACGGCTAATCAACAGCGATTTTCCTAGGACAACAAACCAACCCTAATGTCATTTTCCATTATTATTTTAAGAGAATTAGAAGAATAAGAAATTCCAATTAACTTGATGGTGACATTTTCACTGCACTTCAGAAATGGATTTTTTACTTTTTTAATTCCAAATGTCTTTCTCTTCCTCTTACTCGCTAAGTTTGTTACTGAAGGCAACAGAACAGGTGCATACGACTTCGCTTTTCCCTCCAACACATTTTCTTTTTTCGTTCTGAATTCTCCAAAGTTAGAGCTGCAGAGGAAAGAACTCGTCAGACTTTTCCAACTTTCCTACAAAATGTCCTTAGCTTTAGAAAATTGCTCAAGTTTGAGATTTAATATGCTCGTTTGTTGTTCTTTCTCCTTTCCATAACTCTGTAATCTTCCTGAAAACGCATATGCTTTAAAAGGGGGAAAAAAAAAAAAAGCCACGAAGAAACAGATTATATTTATCTTACTGCTCTCTACACTAAATAGGGAAAAGTGGTGATGGAATGAAGCAGAGCATCCAAAACCAAAAGTCAAAAGGTTTGCCTATTTTCTTGAATACAACCAAGATTTCACTTGTGGAGGAAGAGGGAGAGCAGAAGGGAGAAAAGTTTTCCACCGGTTTCTAGCCACAGTAAATCACCAAGAAAAGGAAAGTGGCCACTCTAAGACAGACACTACTATCCTAAAATCCTTGTCTTTCACTGTTTTGCTGCAGGAAGGTCCCATCACACACTCTCCACATTCAGCTAGGGGCATTTAACTGGCAGGTTTCCAGCTGCAAACCCCAGAGGCATCCCCAGCTGTGCTCCCTCCCTCCATATGTCCACAAGCCAAGAACCCAACTCCCACACTTGCTGCTGGACTATGTGAAGAGAGGAGGACTTCTACAGCAGGAGGTCGAGGAAGGCTGAGACATGGTGGTTGTTCTCTTGACATAACCACTCCAAAGGCTTTTGCGATGGCTACGTAAACGTCCTCAGAATTATTTCATATGCAAGAGTGTTCCATAGTAGAGGGAAAAGGTTAAAAACAACCTGAATCAAACCAGTAGGCTCCCACAAACAGATCAACAAAGAACACGTCAAGAACAGCCTGTGTTAGCAGTCAGAATCAAACTGCTGTGGTTCATTCCTAAAAATAATAAATACATACCATCACCTCCTGGTTGCTTGTATGGGTTGTACTTTGGCTTGGGGGCAACGACAGGCGCAAACTTCTTCGGTGTCTGCTGGGTAGACACTGAGATACTGGGAGTCCCAAAGGTGTGTGTGGTCTCCATCCTTGCAGTAACATGACCAACAGGCTCGTTGGTACTCTTGGGTGGCAGCCAGGACGGGTGGGACATGGTTCAGATCTGAGAGGAGAGATGATGAGAGTCACAAGTATATTAGCAATTTAGGATGGGGAAATACAGTTGCGAACCTACTACTCTGCAGGCTTCTAAAATCAAATCTCAAAACCCTTTAACATATTTAACTTGCACATACTTATCTTTAAACATATTGGTCCTAATGTACAGAAATTAAAATATAAACTTGTATTTTTTTCCCCAGGAGGTCAGAATTCCTGATCAGGTTATTGGTGATACCTGCAAAACCATTACTATTTTCATCTCCAAACTAAAATGGATACAGGCTGATACCCTGGAGAAGCCCATCAATCCTACCATCCATTCAGCATAGTAGTGATACATTTGCCTTTCACTGTTCAGCTTTTGTGAGTACATTAATATATAATAGTGCAGATGCTCTGGGGACAAGTGTAGTCACAGATAGGCAGACACACTTCCAAAATACACCTTTAGTACTTTTTCACATGCAATTTAGAATGCACACAGCGATTTTCATTCAAACTTTTAAGAAAAAGGTTTTCAAAAGCAGCTGATCATTCCTGATGCCTCCATTTCTGAATGCCCAGCTTAAGATATTTTAAAAGCATGTCAGTTCTGAAAAAATGCCAGAATTCCACAACTGCTGACAACCAGGCTCCTTCCAGACATCTCAACTTGTGTAACAGAAAAGGGAGGCAGCCCAAATCATTACTTATTTATGAAAATCTTGGCTTTGGCCTCTTAAAAGCCTACATCACTTTTGAGAACTGGACTCAGATGCTACTGAAAATGTAACTCATAAAAAAACAAACCACCCTGTTCATTGCAATAAAGAAGTGCTTTTCTCTACACACAAACCACACTTGCTGGGTAGCAGTGATGATGGTCCTACAGTACTATCAAGATGGTCCTACACAGCTGGATTTGAGATGCGATGAAGAAATGAAGAGACCACACAGACAAAAGCCAATGCTAATTATGAAGCTTTTGAGCCCTCTGTCCCAGAATGGTTTGTGTTAGAAGGGACCTTAAAGCTTATCTAGTTCCAAACCCCTGCCACAGGGAGAGCTTCTACTAGACCAGGTTGCTCAAAGCCCTGCCCAGCCTTGAACACTGCAAGGGATGAGGCAGGCACAACTGCTCTGGACAACCTGTTCCAGTGTCTCACCACCCTCATAGTGAGGAACTTCCTCCTAGTATCTAATCTAAATCTCCTCTCTTTGAGCTTAAAGCCATTTCCCCTTGTCCTGTCAGTTTTGCCCATGCTCTGCTTTGGTGTTAGGACTCCTCAAGGCCATTGAAAACAGCAGGCACCTATGACCCAACCAAGAAAGATTTGTTTTAATCACGGAAAAGGATCAGTGCAAGTAACAGAACCGGGCCATGTAGCAGAGTGCCACTGCAGAAAAGCTCTTCCATCTGAGAACAAGGGGACAATGCAGAGAGGCAACTGGATTTGCAAGAGGTGGTCTGTAACTGCAGCAAATGCAATATACCAGGGACGAGATGCAAGAGAGAGCTGTAGCTCTGCTGAGCATGGCAACTAAGGGCTGTATTAGCTTGTGTGAACAATTTTCTGCGCTCAGAAGAGGGGGAAGAGGAAAGGGGACAGATGAAAGGTGAAGACCACCTTGGAGTGAAAGCATTACCGAAGTCCACAATCCTACAACACTAACTATTCTGACACAGCTCTGTGGTCACGCATGCAGCCTTCTATTTGAATTGCTTCCAAAGCTGAGAAGTGCAGCCACATACAGTTCATTGATATGAGGGAGGAATGCAGGCAGCCACAGGCCCACTCCTAGTCTACCTGGGCATATTCTTGGTGCCACACAGCTAAGACTTCTGTGTACACATGCTTCTCAGAGAAACAAACAACAATAAGCTCTTCAACCAGACCCCAGGACTATATGGAACATTTAGGCAAGAAGGCAGAATATCTGATAGCCTACCTACCTGATAGTCTAGGCTGTCTGTCTAGAGAAAACAAAACAGAAATCACACTTCATTTCCCTTTTCTCCTAAGTTGGGCACACAGATCACCAGAAAAGCTTACAAGAGTAAGCTGTTGGGACTTAGAAGCAGAGCTATTTTGCCCACTCATCCTGGCTGGTAAAACATCTGCATCTTACATGCTTTGTGGTGGAGCAAATTCAGTTGAGTCCTTTATCAAAGAAGCAAATGAAATCTCTTGGGTATAAACCAGGAAAAGTAGTCCTGTGGGTTCCTGAATTTATAACTTGTCCTAGCTATTTGCTGTTAGCAATGCTGAGTCACTCTTGGGGAAAGGAGCAAGGTCCACATGGAATCTGGGGACAGTATCTCAAGCTAACAGCAATGACTGTTAAAACTGATGTATACGTATGCGTGCTTATCCCAGCCCGGTAAGTTCACTCCAGGTAACAGATTTCCTACTTGAGTCATTTCTACTTAAAGTCCCAATGTCTGACCCAAAACTAGTAGATAGACAATCTGTGGTCATCTTATACCTCCATCACTTCTTGTGTGGGAGAGGAACCAGTAAGTGCCAAACATTGGTTCTAACACTTGTGGCTCTTCCTCACGGTGCAGTCTGACCACTCATCGTGCACACAGCACTTTAGCGATTCCTACCACTGGTAGGTGAGCTCACTGGAAGGTGAGCCTGTTGCGCTAGACAGCTGATACCAGTGAAAGCCATCATGACTGGCTTTTAATGAGGTAAATGGGAGCATGGCAGAAGCACCCTGAAGATGGACAAGTATCCAGGACTGAGCTGCAATGACAGAACTTTCTTCCCCTGTATGACTGACGCCTGACCTTACATTAACACTGCTGAGCATCATTCTGAAAGCAAGAAGCGAAATGCAGGTCTTCTCCACAGGGCTGGAGAGGAAACCAACCACAACGGGTGAGGGCAAAAGGCACGCAAACCATGCTCCCACCGCCTTGTGCTTCCCGTCACCCACACCAGCCCTGATGGACCTAGAAAACAACGCCACTCAAGCAGTAAGATTCACCTACACTCCTGCCTCCTCCTCCCATGTCCTTCAGAAATGTAAAACACATCAATAAAATTTAGGCAGCTATCTAGGTTTTAAGAGCAGAAAGCAATGAGGGCACTGAGCCTTAAGAGCTAAATATGACAACTCTGCACTCTGCAGAGTTATTACATTCAAAGATGACTATACCTTACTCATTGCTAAAAGCATCCTGGAGCTTTATTCTGACACGTTTCTTAGCCTCTGGCTTGACATCTCATATGAAAAGCATTCTGCTGCATGAAACACCATCAGACCCTGGACATCACCTCCATACTAATTCAAAGCAAAAAAAATCCTGGTATAGACCAGATTATCATCATTCCTGTTCTGGAAGCTCCCTAGCTGTGGCTTAAGCTCCCAGGCAACATGTCTTGGTCCCACGGAGCTCTCATGGTCTGTCAGGTTTATGGCAGGGATGGGCTGAGTGATGCACAAACCAAGAATATCTGCTTCAGTAGCCACGTTGCGCAGTGCTAGTGACAGCTGAAGACGATGTGAATCTCAAGGAATAAGTTTAAAAAGCAGACTATTCTTATGGACAGTTTGGGAGCATGAAGACCACACTACCCTAACTCAATTGCTTAACTGCTCACTATAACCTGGCACATAGGTCCCTCCCAGCTACCCTCTAATGCATTTGTTTTCATGGTGGTAGTATTTTCTAATTGTTTCCCCATTAGCCTTTTCTCTTCCGCATTCTCCTCCTCTCATTTTCTGTTATGCATTTGCTGCCACTCATTTTGGTATCTGTGCCTTGACGATGTTTTCAGCAAGTTCCCTTTTCCTCATCTGTTCCAGCCCTAGCTCTCTAGCCTCAATTAAATTTAGCCTAACTCCTTTGTGAGATCAAAAAAAAAAAAAAAAAAAAATTAATCCTTTTTTAACAGCTGAAGCTAAACTTATGGGTTTGCTGTTGTTTCCTTCTCTCTTTCTTCCACACCCCCATTTTTTTAACCTGTCAAAAGGCTAAGAACAAGGCAAAATATAAAGGGCAGTGGCTTGTAGATGGGCACAGTGCCCCACTCTGCAAAGCTGTCTATGGTGGAGCACCCTGGCTAATTCAGACAAAGCCATTTGTGCTCCTTCATCACTCTTTGCAATATTGCCTGGTTTTCAATCAGAAGCTTCTCTGGAGAAAAACAGATGAACATTTTGTGATGCGAACAAGTAATCAAAACAGCAAAGGGAAACTTGGGCTTATAACCAATCCTCTTACTCTAAAATTACTCTTACATATGTCACCGCCTCTGCATCATTGTGGTTCCTCCATTTGGATGAGAACCTTCAATAGGTAAAGGCTGTCCTTTTCTGGCTAGCCAGGAAACACGATCAGCAAATGCATGTTTCACTTTTGTCTTTGAGGTGTTTCCTTCAAAAAAAAACCAAACCCAACTTATTTCTGCTGGTTATACAGCAAACAGTAATGTTTTCAGAAGTTTCTAAGTACATGTGGGATGCGAGATTGCAGAAGTTAGTGGTCACAAGAAGGATAAAGTCACTGGGAAACTGAGAGGAGAAATAGAACAAACTGTATTGGATGATGCGGGCTTTAGAGAACCAGTGAATGGGTAAAATGCAACAAAAGGAGCATCAAGATGGATGGGCTGGGGGAACATAAGAAGCAGGACTGAAAAAAAACACCCCACAATCATGCACACTGGCAGGGGGCAATATGATGAAGTGCATCTGCTCGCCTTGGCTGTCAGGGATGGAGCTGTTAGAATAGCTGCATTATCCACTTCTAAGGGTGACTATAGCAACCTCCTCCTTGAAGGGTAATAGCAGATGGAGTGAAAACCATCAAACCCAATTTGATCACTTTGGTCTTCAAAAGCAATACCCCTCCACTGAAGAATAGCGAGTTTCACCCACTTTTTGCTGGACAAGCCACTTGTCCAGCAAAAGTAGCTCACTGCTCCTTGGATGCCAAATTCATAGGGCCTGATCCCTCTGCTGCTCAACCCAATGGCTAGACCACAGAGCTCTCACTGAGAAGTTAAA